GCGACACATGCTGAAAGCAGCTTGACCTCGGCCACCTGGAGGTGTCCGGATCATCATCATCATCATCATCATCATCATCATCATCATCATCATCATCATCATCATCATCATCATCATCATCATCATCATCATCATCATCATCATCATCATCATCATCATCAGCAGCATCATCATGATCCTGCCCCACGCTTGGCTCCTCCTCCTCCTCCTCCTCCTCCTCCTCCTCCTTCCTCTCCTCCTCCTCCCCTCCTCTCCTCCTCCTCCTCCTCCTCCTCCGCCTCCTCTCCTCCGCCTCCTCCTCCTCCTCCTCCTCCTCCTCCTCCTCCTCCTCCTCCTCCTCCTCCTCCTCCTCCTCCTCCTCTTCCTCCTCCTCGCCATCGTCATCAGCATTAGCATCATCATCAGCATCAGCATCATCAGCATCATCATCAGCAGCATCACCATCATCGCCATCGTCAGCATCATCAGCATCAGCATCATCAGCATCTTCATCATCATCAGCAGCAGCAGCATCAGCATCAGCATCGTCATCATCATCATCATCATCATCATCATCAGCATCCGCATCATCATCATCATCATCATCAACAACAACAGCATCAGCAGCAGCAGCATTATCATCCTGCCCCACGCTGGGCTCCTCCTCCTCCTCCTCCTCCTCCTCCTCCTCCTCCTCCTCCTGCCCCACGCTTGGCTCCTCGTCCTCCTCCTCCTCCTCCTCCTCCTCCTCCTCAGATCGCCGCGCCGAGATGGGGTTCAGGCAGCAAGCAAACTCGGCCAGGCGCCTATAGCCGAGTCCTTCCCTCGTCATCAGGCAGGGCAGGAGGGGGGGGGAGGGGGGGGGGCCGCGGAATGTCGGCAGCAACGAGGGAACGAAAACAAAATTGAGCATGGATGTGCCCAAAACATGCGCAGCAAATGGCGGTACCAACAGGCTGGGCCAGAACGAATGATTATAGAAAGGGGCATCGGGCATACGATACACTGCGAAAGCTGTGGCCCACTTGTAGAAGGGCATAAGGCTGCACGCTTTGTGTGACCCGTTTGGAGCAACCGCAGGGAAAGCTAGGTGGCGAGGGACGGAAATATGGACGACGACGACGCCGATGCCGACGCCGACGAAAAGAGGGGCGAGGATGAAAGAGGAGAGATCTGCGAACGACCCTGGCTAGCACTGGGGAGGGCGAGGTTCGTTGGGATCTGCGCAGCAGCAAAGTGGCGACAGTTGCGCGCCTGGCAGCTGCCAGGGACGCCGATAACTTGTTTGGATCCACGTAGGGCTTCGCTGCGCGAGACACCCCCAGCAGCGCATTAAAGAAGCGACAGTTGCGCGCCTGGCAGCTCTCAGAGACGTCGAGGTTTCATGCCGATTTCTGTGGGGCGTCGCTGCGCTGGAAGCCCTCCAGGCGCATGGCAGACTGGCGGCAGTTGCGCGCCTGGCAGCTCCCATAATAACACGTTGGGGTCTCATTTCCATTGCTGCAGGGCGTCGCCTCGCTGGACCCTTCAGGTGCGCGGCGAAGTTGTCATGTTATCCCTTGTAGGGCATCGCTCCACTGGCCCCCCATGCGGCGCGGCAAAGTGGCGACATCGTTTCGCCTGGCCGCTCCAAGGGACGCCGAGTTTGCCCCCAGGGAGGCCTAGATGAGGATGATATGGAGGCGGAAGAGAACCCGAAAGAGGGGGAGAGGAGGGGGGCAGGGCGGGACGCAGGAGGGCCAACGGGCGTTCGGTTGAAGACGCGGGGCTCACTGGCCAGAGAGTTGGGAACATGATACCAGGTCCGCCCAGCACGGCCGCCGCAGGTGAGGGGCAGCAGCAGCTCGTCTGAGCTCTGAGCCCGCGCCGTGCTCTGGGGCGCCGCGCTGGGGAAGAAGGCGGAGGGGGGAGGGGCGCCCTGCTCCGTGGCGCCGCGCCGTGCTCTGCTGGGGCGCCATGCCCTGGAGCGCCGTGACGCGTGGCGCCGTGCTGAGGGGCCCTCCGCAGGGGCAACCGGGGGCGCCGTGCTCTGCTGCGCCGCTTTGGGGGGGGGGCCCTCGACAAGGGTCGCCAGTGGCGGGCAGCGGCAGCTCGTCTGAGCCGGCGCCGTGATCTGGTGCCCTCCGCAGGGGCCGCCGGGCGGCGGGGCGGCTGCCGGCCGCGGCGGCTCGCGTGGCGCAGCGTGCGGGGCGGCGCCCCAGCTCGCTCGCCTGCCGCGTCAGAGGCTTTCGGCTCGTGGGAACGCTTTTTCGGACGCCCTGGGCGGCCCTCGGCGACCCCTCGACGGCCCCTCGGCAGCCGTCGCCAGCCCCTGGACAGTCCCTCGGCGGCTCCTCGCCCTCGGCGGCCCCTGGGCAGCCCTTCGGCGGCCCCTCGACGGTTCCTCGGCGACCCTCGGAGGCCTTCGGTGGCCCTCGGCGGCGTCTCTACTCTCCACGGCCCCTCCGCCGCCCTCGGCGGCCCCCGGAGACCTTCGGAGGTCCTCGGCGCCGCAGGAGCGCCCTGCGGCAGCGCGAACGGTTCGTGGGCCCCGGGCGAAGGGGCTCCCAGCGCCAGGCCGCGGCTGCCTCGGGGCCTGGCTCGCCAGCGCGCGCCCCGTGCCAGCCAACCGCCTCGGACTGCGGACGCGCCCGCTGGCGCCCAAGGAAGCCACGCCGGCGGCAGGGGCGGGACCACGGAGCCCGGCGGCGCGCCGCGCGCGCGCACAACCGACGCCGTGGCGCGAGACTCAGGAGCGGTGGCGCGGTGGCCGCAGCGGCGCGGTGGCCGCAGCAGCGGGCACCAGCGGGCGGGCGGGGGGCGGCGGCGGGCGGGACCCGGCGGCCATCGCAGCGCGGCAGCGCAGAGGATCAGACCATCCCAAGGGGGGTCACCAGTGGGCGGGGCCGCTAGCTCTTTCAGAAGGGCGAGGCTCGAGGATCAGGGGCCGAGGGTGCCTTGGGACGTTTGGGGTACATTTTTGTTCGGCGGGCCTGGCTCTGCGTCGGGGCGCCCTCGAGATTCGCTTTCTTTACAACCCGAGCGACACTTTACAACTGTCAGTTCACAACCAACTAAGGATCGAATGTAATGGTTTTCCTCTGACAACGACCACTCTACAATCATAACAGCCCACTTTACAACCACAACGGCCCACTTTACAACCCAGACGGGGCTCTTCACAACCAGAATCGCCAGTTTACAAGCAGCCTTGAGCAGCGGGCGGGCGCTCTGCAGAGGCTTCTCAGGCTTCAGAGCGCTTGAGCGCCCTGCCTGAACGTTCTACAGAAGCATCTGAGCGCCTGAGCTCTCTGCAGTGGCTTCTGAGCGCCTGAGCGTTCTGCAGAGGTATCTGAGCGCCTTGGCGTTCTGCAGAAGAGTATGAGCGCCTTTGCTATTGCCAGACGATGAGGACAAACATCTTCTACGATAAAGCACCCACACATTGAAATCCACATGTTTTGGCTAAACTGTTACCAACGATTTCTTGGCCACATTTCCGCCCCCTGGGTACGCATTCTTCCGCGAATGCGAAAACATACGTTTCTGTTACTGCCAGGCGATGAGGCGCGAGGACAAAGTTGTCTGTGAGGCCAAACACACAGCTTGAAGTACACATGGAGTGGCTAGAACTGTACCATTCATTTCTTGGCAACATGTCCGCCCTCCTGGGTACGCATGCTTCCGAAGTTGCGAAAACAGAAGGTTCTGCGATTACCAGACGATGAGGCGCGAGGACAAACATGGCCTGTGATGCAAAAAGCTTACAATCTGAATGTACCAACGAATTATTCGCCACATTCCCGTATTCCTAGGTACGCATGCTTTCGCACATCCGAAAATTTACGGTCGTGTCGTTGCCAAATGATGAGGCGCGAAGACAAAACATGTCTATGATGGAAAAATAATTTCTCACATGTTGTCTAGAAAGTTACTGACTACTCGTTGGCCACATGTCCGCTCTCCTGGGAGCCCGCGTGTTCCTTTGCGTCTTTGGCGGCGAACGCTTATTGTTCTTCCAGTGTCAGAAGAAGCAAGATTTTCTGACAGTTCAAAAAAATGCGATGCCGATTCACAGCAGTGGTTCAAAAAAAAGGCTTAAGCCGCCCACGCTCGTCACCAGCCTGTAGCGGGATGATCTTTATTGGATCTCCAGCGGGTTCCATTAGCTCCTTTGGGATAGCACAAGGGCAACACTAGGATGCCAAACCCGGTTACAGTCTGACTCAAAGAGGATAGGTTCTTATTGGGTTACAGTTGGGTATGAGTGGGATGTCAGTAGTATGCCCGTATGGACCGAAAAGGAAGGACTCCGATTGGATGTCCAGTGCGATACCCGTCGTATTCGCCAATGTGGTTCTGATGGGATTCCAAGAGAAGCGGTTCCAACTGCTTTCGAATAAGAATCCAAAAGGATTCCAACCGGGTTCACATTTAGTTGCCCAATGCGTTTTCCGCAGCATTCCAATGAGAAGGTTCCTCGTTTGTAATCCAATTGGGTTTCCGATCGGCTTCCAGTAGGAAAGGCCCGAAGGAGTTTCAATAGGAAGCATTCCTCTCGGATGCCAATAAGACACCCGTATGCCCCATAGCGAGGAATACTGTTGGATCCCCATGGGATTCATCTGGTGCGACTAGGTTCCCAGTGGGAAGAGTGCCAATAGGATTCCAATAGGATTCCTGTTGGATCCCATTAGGAATCCACCAGTTAAAAGATTATTGTTTCAGACGAGTCTCTTTACAACCAACACGCTTCAGTAGGAGATTGAAGAGCACGCGTCGCTTATATGCGTTTGGATGCCTGGTTGTCATGTCGCCTTCCTGGCTGTAGAGTGCCATTCTAGGAAAACCCATGCTGGCCGTAAGGTGCCCCGTCTCGTTGTAAAGTGGCCGTTCTGCTCGCAGTGTGACCTGCGCGCGGGGGGGCCCTCCTCCTCGAGGGGGGCGGCGGCCTCCCTCGTGGTGGCCCCTCCTCCTCCTCCTCCTCCTCCTCCTCCTCCTCCTCCTCCTCCTCCTCCTCCTCCTCCTCCTCCTCCTCCTCCTCCTCCTCCTCCCCCTCCTCCCCCTCCTCCTCCCCCCCCTCTCTCGGCCCTGCCAGGGACGGGGGGGGGGGCAGCCTTCCGCAGCACCCCAGGGCGGGGGCGGACGCGCGCGTGCTGCCAGGGCCGAGCAGGACGCCCGCGGGCGAGGGGCGGCGGGGGCGCGCGCACCCAGGCCCTGGGCCGGCGGCGAGGAGGGGGGAAGCGAGAAGGAGAAGGCCTTGGGGGAGGGGGAGGGGGAGGAGGAGGGAGGAGGAGGAGGAGGAGGAGGAGGAGGAGGAGGAGGAGGAGAGGAGGGAGGAGGAGGAGGAAGAGGGGAGGGGGGAGGAGGGGGGGGAGGGGGGATGGGGGATGGGGGGATGGGGGGAAGGGGGGATGGGGGCAGCGGGACGTCTCGGAAGGCCCCGGGCCTTCTGGGAGGTCTTCGGTGTCTTCGGGCGAGAGTTCCGAGCCTCGTGGGAGGGCCCGCCCCTTCTCCTTTCCCCCCCCCCCCCACGCCGCCGATTGGGGGGCTGGAGGCCCGCTGCTGTTTACGCTGCAGGCCGCCACGCCGGCGCCCAGACTCTCGTGGGCTCTTGGGGGGGGGGGGCGACCTCGCGGTTCCTTGGGAGTGCCGCCGGGGGAAGGGGGTGATGCGACGCAGGGCATTGCGATGAAGCGTGCCCCAGCGGAGGAAGGAGGGTGGAGGAGGGAAGGGGGGCGGAGGCAGGAGAGAAGAAAACGGAGTGGCAGCGGCGGCGGCTTTGGCATAGACAGGAGAACGAGGAAGACCAGGCGGGGAGGACGGCAACACTCCTCCCACACGCCTCTTCCTCCACGCCTCTTCCCCATCGTCCCCTTCCTTGTCCTCTCCCTCCACCTTCTCCTCCTCCTCCTCCTCCTCCTCCTACTCCTCCTCCTCCTCTCCTCCTCCTCTTCCTCCTCCTCCTCCTCCTCCTCCTCCTCCTCCTCCTCCTCCCTCATCCTCATCCTCATCCTCATCCTCATCCTCCTCCTCGATATCCTCCTCCTCCTCCTCCTCCACTCCCCCTTCTCCTCCTCCTCCCCCTCCTCCTTTTCCCCTCCTCCTCCTCCTCCTCCTCCTCCTCCTCCTCCTCCTCCTCCTCCTCCTCCTGCTCCTCCTGCTCTTCCTCCTCTACCTCCTCCTCCTCCTCCTCCTCCTCCTCCTCCTCCTCATCATCATCATCATCATCAGCAGCAGCAGCAGCAGCAGCATCAGCATCATCAGTAGCATCAGCATCATAATCAACAGCAGCATCATCATTAGCATCATCATTAGCAACATCAGCATCAGCATTATCATTAGCATCATCAGCATCATCATCAGCATCATCATATCCATCATCATCATCATCAGCAGCATCATCATCATCATCGGCATCATCACTATCATCATTAGCATTATCATCATCAGAATCAGCACCATCATCAACAGCATCATAATCAGCAGTACAATCATGATCATAAGATGTATCACCGTCATCATTAGAATCATACTGGTCCTCCTCAACATCAGCAGCATCATCATCATCATCGTCATCATCATCATGTTCCTCCTCATCCTCCTCCTGCTCCCCCCTTCTCCGACTCGCCACTCACATCCTTCCACGCACCCGAAGGAGGAGCGGCCCCGAGATGCACCGAGACCTCGCCCCGCGCGCGCTGCTGCCCACGCTGCTCCTCGCGCTGGGCGCCGCCCGCGGCGCGGGGGCCATCGCCGCGGCAGGCGCCCGAGAAGGAGGAGGAGGAGGAGGAGGACAGGAGGAGGAGGACAGGAGGAGGAGGAGGAGGAGGAGGAGGAGACCCCAGAGATCCGATGGACTGATTCCTTCCATCCCAGACCCCCTCGAGCCACGAACAAACGCACGACGTCCTCCTCCTCCTCTTTCGTCCCCCTCCCTTCTCGTCCGCCTCCTTTCCACTCTGCCCGTGCCCAAGATGGCATCCTCCTCTTCGTTCCCCTCTCCCGCTGGGTCCAGAGGCGAGGGCTCGTCGCGATTCCATCGGCGTCGTACGATCGTCTTCCTTGCTCGCTTGCTCGCACGACCGGTCGTCGTCGCCAGTTGCTCGTCAGTCGCTGGACAGATCGGTGGTCACTGGAAGGAAGGAGGAGGGAAAGGAGGAGGAGGAGGAGGAGGAGGAGGAGACGGAGGACGAGGAGGCAGAGGAGGAGGAGGATCTCGATGATGACTCCGCCCTTCGAGTGCCCCGCCCCGGCATAACCAGACCAAGCTCGGCGACGCGCGGAGAGCGACCAGTCGCTGGAGTGGCCTTGGGTGCAGGCCCACAGGGGCCCCCCCAACACTGGCCCGCGGGCTTGGTTCTGGCCCCCCCGCGTTCCCCTGGAGCCGCGCACCAGAGGTCGCCCTTGCCCAGGGCTGCTCGTGAGTGCAGCCGAGGGGAGACGTACAACGTTTACCTGCGAGTTACGCTTGCTGTTTGTCGCAATTCGAACGATCTGTCGATCATTCGTCGCCTTTCGATCGCTCGGAGGAGCGCGCGTTCGTCGTCGTTCACTCGTCGTCGCTCGATCCCTTGGAGGTTCGTTCGTTCTCCAATCGCTCGTTGCTCATTCGACCGATCGTCCGTGGTTTGTTCGTGAATGAGGCCAGCTGTCGTCGTCGGTTGTTGAAATACGGCCTGGCGGGTGACTTCGCCAGGGTGACACAACACTCCGAAGGGACCGTCAAGTCGTCGTCGCGGTTCGATTCTTCAAATGATCGTTCGATCTTTCTTCGATCGTTCGTCTTCTGATCGTTCAACCGACCACCGATTTGTCAATCTTTCATAATTTGTTCGCCGATCGTTATTCGATGGCTCTCCGACGGTTCGTCGCTCGTGGCCCAAACGATCGCAGTGCGATTGTTAGCTCGAATACAACCCGACAAGGTGCGCCGGCCAGGCAGATCCCCGGATTCAAGACCACGTACACGGTCGTGACTCCTGGCGGCGGCGAGAGGAAGGTCGCGAAGAATTCCGTCGTCACCGTGCACGCCACTGGCGTGGTCGTGGAGACAGGCGGGGGCCCACCGTGACGTCGATCCGAGCCTCCTTCATGGAGGAGGAGGAATAAAAAGAAGAACGAGAAGAAGAAGAGGAATAAGACGAGGAGGAGGAAGAGGAGGAGGAGCAGCGGCGGGCAGAAAGAGAGGGAGTAGCAGCAGCAGAGAGAAGACGAGGGGAATTGCTCGAAGGCGAGAAGGAGGAGGTACACGAAGAGGAGGAGCTGGAAGATGACGGGAGAAGATTCGCAAGGGGACCGGAAGCGATTGAGGAGGAGGAAGCGGAGGGAGGGAGTGAGGGAGAGAGGAGGAGGAGGAGGAGGAGGACGACGACGACGACGAGCAGAGGAGGAGGCAGAGCAGGCAAGGAACCGGGACGGAGAGGACAAGAAGCAGCAGGGAGAGGGAAGAGGGGGTGGAAGGGGAGGGGGAAGATCGGAAAGAGCACGGGTGATGAGGACAAGAGTTAGGAGGAGGAGAAGGAGGAGGAGGAGGAGGAGTTGGAAGAGGAGGGGAGAACAAGCCAGGTGCGCTCGCGCCATGTCTGACATCCTACCCCTCCCACTCGGCCCTTCCCACTGCATTGCGCCTTGCTCTGCCCGCCGACGCGTGTCGTAGCGGGCCTGGAACTCCGAAGAGGGTCCCGTTTGCCCGTCGTGGTTGGCGCAATCGGAGAAAAAGGAGTTGCGTACATTGGAAGACATTGGAAGAGGAGGTGGCGGATGTGCATGAGGATGAGCAAGAGGAGAAGGAGGAGGGCGAAGAAGAAGGAGGAGGAGGAGGACGACGACGACGACGACGAACAGCAGCAGGAGGAGCTGGAGTGGAAAGGGCGGGAGGAGCAGGAGGACCAGGGGAAGGGCCCATAGATCGATATGTGAAAGCACCAAACATGTGGCCGCAGTACGGCCAGGACACTCGACTGGTTCTAGCCATCCTCCCCGCCCCCCCGTGCACGGCCACGTGGTCGTACACGGCGTAAACGACCACGCATGCGGGAGCAGACGCGGCGGGGGCGGGAGGAAGAGGACGACGACAACGATAAGACGAAGGAGAATGGGTTGGAACAGGAGCAGGGGAGGAGGAGGAGGAGGAGGAGGAGGAGGAGCAGGAGGAGCAGGAGGAGCAGGAGGAGTGGTTTGAAGAGGAAGAAGAGAAAGGTCAGGGAAAGGGGAGGATGAGGAGAAGCAACATAAAGTGGAGAGAGGCGGGAGGGAGAGGACGGATATGATTAGATGAGGATGAGGAAGAGGAGGAGGAGGAGGAGGAGGAGGAGGAGGAGGAGGAGGAGGATCCACGAGGAGGAGGAGGAGGAGGAGGAGGAGGAGGAGGTATCTTTTTCGCTGCCGTGAGGTAGCAGTACCCCAACTGCCCCGACATCTGGGTGTGGCTAGGGTGTGCGCAGCACCGTAACTCTTGCACGTATTCGGGGGAAGGTCCCTTTTTCGCCGCTGTCAGGTGGTAGTACCCCGACTAGCCCCCAGCACCTGGGTGTGTCATTTTCCCCTGCCGACCGTGGTTGAGATCCACCTAAGCGTCGATGTCTATCACCACGTGTACTGGCTCGACTCCCTGCACCAGGACTGGGCTTTGAAATGCACGTCATGGACTGGGACTGGGCTTTGTAATGGGTGGGGGGGGATGACGTGTTTCACCGTGATGAGGCTTGCCCGCTCCAGCGATCGCTGCCTCCGCTCTCTTTGTTCTCTCTGCTGCCGCTCTCGTCTCACACATCGATTGGGATCCAGACTCATTCCCTTAGTTGCCGACCGACCGAGGAGGAGGAGAAGGAGGAGGGAGGAGAGGCGGAGGGGGAAGAGGAGGGAGGGAAGCAGGGAGCAGGATGAGGAGGATCAGGATGAGGTTGGGGATGAAGCGGCAGGAGAAGAGAAGTAAGAGAAGGGATAGGGAAAGGAGGAGAACGAGGACAAGGACTAGAAGCAGGAGGTAGAAGAGGAAGGCACGAGGCGCTGGAAAGGAAGTGGACAAATGGCCAGGGCGGGAGGGTAGGGAGAAGGGAAGGATTATTTCCTCCTCCTCCCCCTTCTCCTCTACCTCCCCCCCTCCCTGATCCGCGACCTCCGCCTCCTGCTCCACATCCCCCTACCACCCCCTCCCCACTCTCCTTCCCCCTTCTCCTCCTACCCCCTCACCCTCCCTCTCCCCCTTCGGCCCCCCATCTCGCCCCCTCCCCCTTGCTGCTCCTCGCCATCTCCCCATCGCCCTCTTCCCCCCTTCGCACCCTCTCCCTCCCCTGCTGCGACCAGGCAAGAAGTTCTGGAGCACGAAGGACCCCGGCCAGGAGCCCTTCACGTACACGGCCGGCGTGGGTGGCGTGATCCGGGCAGCCTCCCGGCAGCGGCCGCCGGCCCTCTTCGGCAGCCCGCCAGGGTGTGTGGGCAGCATCGAGCGTTCGAGGATCGAGCGTTCGAGGATCCAGGAGGCGGAGGAGGAGGAAGAGGAGGAGGAGGGGGGGGCACGGAGCGTTCGAGGGGCGAGGTTCGGGGAGGGGCTCGCGAGGCAGGGTCGAAGAGTGCAGGGTCGAGTTCTTGCAGGGGGGCGTGTCCGGCGCGGCGCTGGCTCCCAGGCGCCACCTGGCCCCTCCGGAGGCTTCCGCGGGCCTCCAGAGCTCCAGGACCTCCGGGCACCTCCATGGAGGAAAAGGAGGGGTAGGAGGAGGAGGAGGAGGAGGAGGAGGAGGAGGAGGACGAGGAGAAAATAAAGGAGATGGAGGAGGAGGAGGAAGAGAAAAAAGGGGGGAGGAGGAGGAGGAGGAGGAGGAGGAGGAGGAGGAGGAGGAGATGGAGTAGGAGGAAGAATCGCAAAAGAGGAGGCTGGATGAGGAGCAGCAGCAGCAGCAACAGGACCAGGAGGGGGAGACGGAAGAAGGAGAAGGAGAAGCAGAAGAAGAAGAAGAAGAAGGGAAAAAAAAGGGGGAGGACGGAGGGGGGAGGACGGAGGAGGGGCGAGGGACGAGGAACGGGGAGACATCCGATGAACTCTGGAAGCTTCTGGAGACCTCTGGAGACTTGCAGGGGCCTGGCGCTCAGGGCGGCGGCGGCGTTGTCGATACGTATCCTCTTCCGCCTCCGCATCCTCCGCCTTTGTCCTGCCTCGAGGACTGAGTCTTTCTCCTTCCATCCTCCCTTCCCAACGCTACGTCCTAGCTAAGCAGGAGACTCCCAGGAAAGTCCTCCCTTCCCTTTTTGTTTTCCTTCCTTACCCTCCTCCTTCTCTTCCTCGTCATCCTCCCTCTCCCCCTCCCACTCCCCCTGGCAGTGGAAGAGGACGACGAGGGCTTGGAGAGCGGAAGAGGAGGATGAAGGGACGAGGAGGAAGAGGAGGAAGAGGAGGAGGAGGAGGAGGAGGCTGAGGAGGATGCTCGCATCGTCCGCTCTGCCGCGCTCCTCGACTTCCTCCGCCTCGTTCTCCTCCCCCTATCCTGCCCCTTCCTGCACCATCCCCGTGTCACCTCGCCACCCCTCGCGCGAGCTCGGGCGACACGATTCCGACCTTCCACACGCGCCGCCTCCGAGTGTGGCTTCGCTGTCGCGCGCGCCGCTCGCGGGCGCCGCCGCACGCGCCGCCGTGGCGCTTCGCCACGCGCAGCTGGCCGCCGCCACGGAAGCGCAGGCCGGCTGCTCGGACGCCGCAGAGGCACTGCGCCGCGCCGAGGCTTTCCGGGATGATGGGCCTTGCACCTGGCTGGTGCTTCTCGGGCAGCGTCACGTCACTCTTCATTTTCCGCACGCAGTCCGCATAGCCCCACGCCATGCGCGCGGCCGAGCGCCAGGCGCGCCCCCACCAGCAGCGGGGCGTGCATGCGGAAAGCAGGCGGGCGCGCTGTCCCAGGGCGCGGCGCACTGGCGGAGCCCGTGCCGCTGGGATGCCGACTTGGCGGCGTCCTCTCGCCTCAGCCGCCAGGCCTTGCGCCAGCCTGCGAACCTAGGAGGAGGAGGAGGAGGAGGAGGAGGAGGAGGAGGAGGAGGATAACCTGAGGAGGAGGAGGAGGAGGAGGAGGAGGAACGGAGGAGGAGGAGGAGGGAGGAGGAGGAGAAGAGGAGGAGGAGGAGGAAGCCCCAATCGACCAGGACCGTTTGCCAGTGGTCGGCCCGCGGGGGCCTGCCAGCCCCCCCCACCCTGCGGAGGTGAGGCCGCTGGGTGCGATGCCTCGACGGCTTTTAAGCGCCCGCGAGTCGCATCGCCCGACTAACCTGCAGCTCCTTGGGGCCGAACGATCTGCTGGCCGGACGCTGGATCACGCCGAGGCGAGACCGTTTCGGTAGAGGTTTGCTTACGTGTGTGGCTCACCACGGAGAACCTGCAGCGACCAACACACCTTTGGCCAACACGTTACGTGCTGGTTCGCTTGACCAACACGTATTTGGATCACATCAGGCATCCAACCTTTCCCTTGGCTGATGGCTGCGCTGGAAAGAAGAACGCATCTTCCAGCGACAAGGGGGAGCGGCGAGCGCTAAAAAGAGGTGCGACGCTGCTGGGGGCGCTGCCTCGGCCCCCCTCCCCGCTGGACCTGCTGGCACGCCCCGCGGGGGGCCGCCGGGCGCGTGGCTGCCGGGGGGCGCCGCCGCGGGTCGCTGGATGCGCTGCTGCTGCCCAGCCCTGCGGGCGATGCTGGAGGTGCTGCTGCGGCCCCGATGCTCTGAGCCTCCCCAATTGTCAAGTCGGGCATGTCCCTCTACAGGAGGAATGTGCGAAACTAGTCTCAAAATAGTCCGGGGACGATTCTTTGACTAGTTCTGATTCTTTCTTGAAGATTGTTGGACTATCTTCCCAAAATCCGCCTGTGGGGGCACATGCCCGACCTAAACCTCAATGGGTCCGAGTACATGGGGTCGGTGAATCGCGCCGCATCCCGGATGTATTGGCGCTGCGGCTCGATGTGGGCCCCGACCTGTTCCGCGCACACGGCGCCGATGCCGACTCGACGAATGCCCCATTTGGGAGGCCCTGAATGCCGTCAGCTTGTCAGCCAGTCGTCACAAAGTCGACGGTGGAGCAGGTAACTGGTGATCCTCGAGGTCCCCACGTCCGCGGGCAGCCGCAGCGTCCGAGTGGCCTTGTGGCAGTATCTGCCCATGGTGGTGCGCTGCTCACGGCCTTGATGGATGCCATCTGCATGTCGTTGGCCGCGCATCGGTGGCCGTCGAGAGCGCGCTGCGCCTCGCCATCACCCTGAACCTGCCGGGCTGGCCTTCGTGAGCACCGTCCCCGGCAGCCTGGAATCCGTCTGGGCGCCCATGCGGGCCACGGGTAAGGGCGCGGGCTCACTTGCCCGTGAATCGCATATTGAATCGCAGTTCCATGTGTTCTACGACTTGCAATGCGCGTATCTCGCTGTGCTCATTGTCTGTGAATCGCGCGGTCGGGATGCCCCTACTGAGGGGCAGTTGACTTCTGTATTTTTTTATGTTTTTAAATGACAAAAAAAACCTTTCTGGGTTGTAGGTTGGACCACAGTTTCGCACTTGCCCAATCGGGCTCGTTACCCGAATCAATTCTTCGTGTTACTACTTTCTCTTTCATACCCAACCAGCGAGTCTACAGCTGCCGTCTCGGTACTGGCGCACGGGCAGTAGGAACTAGGATGCCGCTCGCCGCAGCGGTTGATTCACTCGCGTGAATCAGGCTACTGGGCTTAGTTTTTGGATCCCCCATGTCTACCCATATGCGTGTATATATGTACACATACACATGATGTATGTATGTGTATCGAAGAGCGCCTTCTGTGGGCGCTCGGGAGAGCGGAGAGGATCGAACCGGGAGGTCACCCCCCCTGAACTGCAAGAGGGCGGGGGGTCGAACGCCCCCCCCCCTGGACCACCCCATATTCGTCAGTGGCGAACGACGACGGCGGGCGCCGGCGGCGACGACGAAGACGACAAGTGGCAAGGACGACGACGATAAAGACGACGACGACGATAGAGGTGGTGATGTTGGTGTTGGTGTTGGATGATGATGATGATGATGATGATGATGATGATGATGATGATGATGATGATGATGATGATGGTGATGGTGATGGTGATGGTGATGGTGATGGTGATGGTGATGATGATGATGATGGTGATGGTGATGATGATGAGAATGATGATTGTGGTGGTGACGGTGATGGTGATGGTTGTGGTGTTGGTGGTGATGATGATGATGATGATGATGATGGTAATGCTGCTGGTGGTGGTTATGATGATGATGATGACGATGGTGAAGATGATGAGGAAGATGGTGGTGGCGATGATGAAGATGATGATGATGTTGGTGACGATGATAGTGGTGGTGGTGATCATGATGATGCTGGCGATGATCATCATGATGATGGTGGTGATGACGATGACAATGATGATGGTGATGATGATGCGTATGATTATGATGAAGAGGAGGACACGGATAGTGATGATGCCGCTGGTGGTGATGACGATGATGACTTTCTGCCGATAGTGATGACGGGAATGTTGAGGGTGGTGATCATGTTGATGACCATGATGCCGATGATGATGATGATGGTAATGGTGATCTGGACGAGTGTGGTGATGCTGATGATGGCGATGGGGATGATGCTGGTGACGATGACGATGACAATCACGATGACTATAATTCTGATGGTGTCGGTTGTGATGATGATGATGATGATGTCCATGACGATGATGATGTTGATGATGATGTTGATGATAGTGATCATAATGATGTTGTGGTTGATGATGTTGATGATGTTGGTAGTGAAAATGCTGTTGATTATGATGATGTTAGCGAGGGTTATGGCGATACTGATGTTGATGCTGATGATACCGACTAGGGTGGGGACGGTGATGATGATGGTGATAGTAAGGGTGGTGATGATGATGATGATGGTGATGTTGCCGATGGTGCTGATGCTGATGATGCTGGCGGTGATGAGGAGGAGGAGGATAAGGATGATGGTGAGTTTGGGAAGGACGATATAGATGATGCGAATGATTATGATAATCATGATGGTGGTGATGCTGATGATGTTGATCCGACCCGACCCGCCCGTTAAGGCCCGTTTGGACTCTCGCGTGCCAACTCGATCACGCACCATAGTTTAGTGTTCCGCCCGCCCGATCCGACGAGTGCAATGGTGATGGCGATGAATGAAGACGTGGGGAGGGATGACAGTGAAGGTGAAAATGACGATAGTGGTAATTTTGATGTTGACAGTCATGACGTTGTCAAAGATGGTGATGAGGATGCGGATGATGATGATGATGATGACGATGATGATAATGTGGATGAGGGTGACGATAATGAGGATGTGGATGAAGATGACGATGATGATAATAATGGATATGATGAGCAGGAGGACGATGATGATGAATGTTGACTGTGATGGCGAGGATGAGGACGAAGATGAGGGTTAGGATGAGGATGAGGATGAGGATAATGATGATGACGTTGATGAGGGAAAGGGTGAGGACCAGGATGATGATAGCGATGATGATGTTAATGATAATGATGAGGATGAGGGTGCGGATGACGACGGTGATGATGATGATGATGATGATGATGATGATGATGATGATGGTGATGATGATGGTGATGATGATGACGATGGCGATGATGATGGTGGGGGTGATGAGGCTCAGGATGAGGAGGATTGGGATGAGGATGAGGATAATGAGGACGATGAGGATGATGAGAATGAGGATCAGGATCAGGCTCAGGATGAAAATGATGATGCTGATGAGGAGGAGGAGAAGTATGATGATGACGAGGATGAGGATGATGCTTGGCCAGAGGGGGGTGACCCCCCCCCCTGCAGCGGGGAGGTATTAGGGGGGAGAGGGAGAAAGGGAGTCCCCCCGTTTTTTCCCGGCGCGCCGACCTGCCTCAGGGGTGGGGAGACCCCCCGGCTCTGACGTGTCGCGGGATGCTTTCCGAGCAGGCGTCCGCGACATGCGTCTTCCCATATGCATACAGATATGTAGATGTATGGATGTGCTTGTGTGTACGTGCACACCTGTATAGATATAGATATATCTGCATCTATATCTATATGTATGACCCTTCCTCGTGAGCCTTTCCTGTTCTCTCCAATCCGGCCCGGCACCGTTGCCTCGGCCGTCCCCAGGGGTCGGCGGGGCACGTGGCGCGCACGTGTGCCAGGCTGTCTTCTTCGGTGCACTCGTAGGCTCTGCGATCGAGTTCCGCCCTCAGGGACCCATGGGGTCTCACGCATGGCCATTTCCGCATCGAGTGAAAATGATTCTGGCCTTCTCTTTTTCCAGAGGTGTATTTTCCTCCTCTTTACCTCCCTCCAGCGACGGCGAGGGCATGGTGGCCCCGGGGCGGGGGCCCTGGCGGATCACAGGTTGGGACCAGGGCTGCCTCGGAATGCACGTGGGCGAGCAGCGTAAACTGGTGATCCCCGCCGAGGAGCGCCAGGAGTAGGAGGACACGAGGTTTGAGGATCGACGAGTGCGGTTTTTGGATAGTTTAGGCGGGTCTTTCACTCCAGGCGTCTCTGGGGGGTCCAGGGGCTAGAGGATGAGGAGGAGGGTGAGGGTGCCATCCGTGGTCCTCTTCATTCGCCCCCTCGACATCCTCCCATTATCCTGCCGTCCGTCCTCCCTTCTCATCCCTCTTCCTTGTCCTCTCCTTGCCCCTCTTCTCTTCCAGCATGGTCAGGTTCCTCCTCCATCTATGTGTTTTGGTGTTTCTCTCTATCGCTCTCTCTCTCTCTCTCTCTTTCTCTCTCTCTCTCTCTCTCTCTCTCTCTCCTTCCCTCCCTCTCCCTCTCTCACTCTCTCTATATGTCTTTCTCTTTCTCTCTCTCTCTCTCTCTGTCTCTCTCCGACTCTCCCTGTATATAGATGTGTGTATACATTATCATATCACCACTGCTGTGGCCGCTCCATGGGAAACCATACACTAGTGGTGAGGCCGTCACGGGCGCCCTGCTGCTAGGCCGTTCGTTAATTGCGCTACTCCGCCCCTAAGGGCCATTCGAGGCACGCTCAAGCAATGCCCGCAGTCGATTCAAAAAAAACTCCTCCATCCTCTCCTTCCTCCCCCGTCTTCTTCATGGAGCAAGCTGAGTTATGCCTTGGCGGCAGTTGCCCAAGATAGTGAAACGTTTCCAAAGATGTTGAAACGTTTCGGACAGTGGATAGAAGGCGGCGGAAGGCGGGATGGCGCGGTTAGATAGGGAACGGGCAGTGAATAGAAGGCGGCGGAAGGCTGGATGGAGCGGTTAGGTTAGATAGGGAGCATTGGCGCTGTGGGGCCACGAAACGGGCGAGGGGCGTACCAAAATGGGTGCGGTGGGCCCATGCGAACGCTGACACTTGAGCCTTCGGTGGGGCTCCCTATGGGGCCAAGAAACGTGCGAGGGGTGTGCCAAAGTGAGGGGGGTGACGGGAGGAGGAGGAGGGGGAGGAGGAAGGAAGGAAGGAGAGGGACGCGGGGACCATCTCTTCAAAACGAGGACCCAACACCACAGAATGGTTGGGAAAAACGCCTCTTCTATCCTCTCCTTCCTCCCCAGTATTCCTCCTGGAACAAGCTGAGTTCCGCTACGGCTGCAGCTGCCCAAAGATGGTGAAACGTTTCCAGAGATGGTGAAACGTTTCGGGCAGTGGATAAAAGGCGGCGGAAGGCTGACCAGCGCGGCTAGATAGGGAACGGGCAGTGGATGGAAGGCGGCGGAAGGCTGGCTGGCGCGGCTAGATCGGGAACGGGAAGCTGGCACAGTGTGCGCCATCCCTCCGTGCGCTCGAGGCGATAGGGTCGAGGCAGAAAGTGCATCGGACCAGGACAGGAACGCCGCGACGACTCCACGGCAACTCGCAGAACACTGGTGCTAGCGGATACGCACACACACACACACACACACGCACTTTTTTGCGCCAGCGGCTAGGCAGAGTCACTGCGCTAGCGATGGAGCGCTAGTGGGATGCACAGAACGCGAATTGGGCCGCCATGCACGGGGGAGAGAGGGAGGACGCCCGGCGTGGGCAGGAGGGAGAAGGACGCTGGGCCCGCTCAGAGCGGGGCCCGGCGGCGGCCGGGCGGGCGCCGGGAGCGGGGACCAGCCGCAGCGAGGCGGCGGCTGGGGGGTAGGCAGGGCAGGGCGGTTGCCGGAGGCAAGCGCCCAAGGGGGGGCAGGCCCAGCACGAGCTGGAGGCGAAAGCAGTGACAGCGAGGCAGCAAGGGGAGCCGAGGTCACGAGTGAGCTGCGAGGCAGCCTGGGGGCGGTGGACGCACACACACACACACACACACAGACAGACACAGACACACTTTCTTCGTCGGCGGCGAGGCAGACGCAGTCCGCTCCAGCGTGCAAGAGGAAGGAAAGAAGACGAGGGGCGGCCGCGCGGGGGGAAGAGGAGAGGATAGACACACACACACACACACACTCACACACACACAACGAGGACGGAGGTGCATAAGAGCGCAGCCAGGTGATGAGAGCTCATCGCTGCTGCCCAACGTTGCCACACGCACACATCGCGTGCAAGCAAACGCGGGAGCGTTGGGATGCGAACGCGGTGGGTGCGACTAGAGATTCGCAAGAAAGCGGACGCCGACGGTTGAGCCACATCATGTTCGCAGATGATATGACCCTGGTGGCGCGATTATCCAAGTCTCTGCGACAATGATCGGCGATACGATGACAGAGAGTTGAGAGAACCAGGGCTCGAGATAAATGGTGTTTTGGCGACGTTGTGGACCGTGTTTGGCTTGATTTCGTTTTGCAGCAAAGAAAGAAAAAAGACAGAGCAAGGGAAAACGAAAACACGATGGAACCAGAAATCACGTTTAGCACGAGATTTGGAGGGAATTCGTTGCAAGAGGCCTGTCGCTATACTTTGGAAGGTGTTTCCGAAGAACATGTTCGTACTCATGGGCAGCAACTCTTCGTTGTTAGCGCTGCAGCCGGCTTAAAAGCCTCGGCATGCAGATCCTTCGTCTGGCCACACCAGTAAGGATATATCCGCACGCAGCATGGCCAGATGAAGCGAATTCCACCTTATGCAGCCGCTTCTGAATCCAAAGCGTGGTATGCCCCGTATCAAACAAAGAGCGTGTTATCATGTTGTGAGCCGCGGCGGCCGACTCAGGCGGAGAATTGACGGTTCCAGTCGGCTCAAAACGAGATATTGCAAAGAATCGTTGATGCCAGACGCCAGCCTCAAAGATTGGACCCGTTTTTTTTCGTGCTACGCACGCCACACAGGAAACTCGTCATACATTTAAGGTACGGCTATAGCTTCAGAATAGGAATGGACCAGATGCGTTTTCGGTTGCGAGACGGCAAAGTGTTGGACAGGTTTCGGGAAAAAATTGATGACATGTCGCGCAAGAAGATCGCGGAGCGGCGCGATGCGGAGTGGTGCACCTTGCAAGTATGGGCGGGCGGCAGGCAGAGGATGCCTTGGAGAACGCGCTTTGACTGCGGGGGGGGTGCGAGAGCAGTACGCGTCCGCAGAGGACGCGGCCCAGATTCGAAGCAGATGGCAACAAAGTGCTTCGTCCGTTGGCGACCGCGCGGAGGCGGGGCCGCGGGGTCGGCCCTCCAAAGTGGCAGGTAGCGTCGAAGAAGGGATCGGATGCTGTCAGCTTCGAAGGCGCTCTCTGCCTTCTGGTCCAGGCCGCCCCTGTGCTCCACACCGCCAAACTCTGCTCCAAACCTGGGCGCCATCCTGGCCAACTCCATGAGTTGCGTCTAGGCGTGGCAACGAGGGCGCACCCACAGGCCCAAGGAGGACCGAACACATGCACAAGCATGTTCCCTGTGCGCGCGCCTCCAAATGCGCATTTGCGTGGCCAAGCGAAGTCAGAGATCATTACGCACAGTGTTGCGATCGAGGGAGAGGCCGCTTTCTCCGCGTATGGGCGCAGTTTTCCCCGCCCCCCCCCAGTCACATTGTGCAAGGGGATGATATGTGTCCTCCTTCTCCTCATCCTCCTCCTCCTCCTCTTCCTATTCATGTTTCTTCCTTACGTCGTCACCTCCTCCGTCTCATCCTCTTTATCCTTCCCCCATCTCTTTTCTCCTCCCCCACATCCTTGTATCGCTCCTTGTCCTCGACTTGAAGGAGGAAGAGGAGGGCGGGAAGACAGAGAGGAGGTGCAACAAGGAAACGAATGGGGAGAGGCAAGGTGAGCTAGCTACACGAAGGAGGAGGAACGAACGGGTAGGAGAACGAAAAGGAATACGAAAGCAACGAGGAGGAGCAGCAGGCGGAGACTGGGGACGACAGCGAGGAGGAGGACGCGAAAGAGGAGGGAGGAGGCAAGGACGCTGGAGGCCGACGCGGAGGCCGAGGTGGAGAGAGGGAGACAGGGGAGCGAGACGGGCGTGGGGCGTAATGGGGCGGAGCGGCGCTGAATGAGGGGGGACGAAGAGAGGGGCACCGCTTGTGCCCGAAAGGGCCCCAAAAGACCACGAGAGGTGCACACGTGTCTCCCCCCCCCCATGCATCGCCCCCCCCCCCCCCAGTTTGCACCACCCGAGGAAGGGAGGGAGAGGGACGAGCGGGCGAGAGCGCGCCGAGGGATGGAGGACGGGAGGGCGGGAGCAGCGTCGACGACGACGGCAATGATGATGACGCCGTCGCCGCCGACGACGACGGCGACGTCGACGACGACGACCACCACCACCACCACACCACCACGACCACGACCACGACCACGACGACCATTACGACGACGACGACGACGACGACGACGACGACGACGACGACGAGACGACGAGGACGACCACGATGACGACGACGACGACGGTGACGACGACGACGAGACGAGAACGACGAGGACGACGACGACGACGACGACGACGACGACGACGACGACGACGACGAACGACGACGACGACGGCGTGGGCCCGCCGAGGAGGGCTACGGCAAGGGCGGCTTCCCGGCGTGGGGCATTCCGCCAGGCGGCACGCTCGAGTTCACCCTGGAGTGCTTGACCATCAAGTAAGGCCTCGGGGAGAAGGGCCAGAGAAGGAGGAGGAGGAGGAGGAGGAGGAGGAGAAGGAGGAGGAGGGAGGAGGCGGAGGAGGAGGAGGAGAAGGAAGATAGGGAGAAGGAGGAGGAGGAGGAGGAGGAGAAGAAGGAGGAGGAGGAGGAGGAAGGGGAGGGATATCAGGAGGGGAAGGAAGAGAACGGAGAAGGAGAGGAGGAGAGGAGGAAGGAGGAGGAAGAGAGAAGCGAGAAGATGGGGGGAGAAGGAGAGGAGGAGGAGGAGGAGGAGGAGAAGAAGAAGGAGGAGGAGGAGGAGGAAGGGGAGAGTTTTCAGGAGGGGAAGGAAGAGAGCGGAGAAGGAGGAGGAGGAGGAGAAGCGAGGAGAAGCGAGGAGGAGGAACGGGGCCACCGAGGCAACGCGTCCAAGTCGCCCGAACGCGCCCTTCCGAGATGTGGCCTCCGCAGCTCGCCGCAGACAAGGAGGAGGACTGCCCTGAAGGAGGTGTGAGAGGAGGGCACGCGCGCCGCAGGCACCCAGGCGCGGTGAGCGCGCACAGGGGCGCGCTGGGCTGAGGCACCACCTACACTCAACGAAACGAAACGAAACGAGGGCGAGACAGGAGAGCAACGACACGCTGGTGCCGCCCCCGCCCCGCCGAATCGCCGCGGGCGGCGACGCCAGGGGACAGCGCGACCGCCGCGCCTAGCGCCGGAGCCTCGGCGCCTCTCGCCTGGGCCTCTTCTGTTCGGCGGGCCCGCCCCTGCTGGCAGGCACCACTCCGACGACGCGGCGTCGAACCCCGCGCCACCCCGCGACGCTCGGGCAACCTCGGCCGACGCGCCAGAGAGTCGGAGGCCACGGCGCGATCGCAGCCGACGGGCCCAGCGTCCCGGCTCACCCCGGGGCGGTCCCTGTCGCGACGACAGCGCCCGCCTGCCTGCAAGAGCACTGCAGGGATCGACTGGCCACCGCCCCCACCGGGCCGGGAGTCGCGGCTGGGCCCTCGGCCGAGGCGGGCGCAGGGCCCCAGCGAGGGCCGCGGGCCGCCGAGGTCCTCCAGGAGCCTCCCGAGGTCCACGGTGGCCTCGAGAGGTCCCCAGGCGCCTCCCGATGCCTCCGGCTGGCGACGGCCGCGGGTCTGGGCGCGAGGCCCCACCGCTGCGGGCCCGCCAGCTCGGCCTCGTCTCCGCCGCGCAGCCGCCGAGGGCACTGCTGGGCCTGAGAGGGCCGCGGGCTGCCCCTGGCGGCGTGCAGCCGCTGCGGAGGCGCGTCGGCGCGGCCTAGCCATGCTACGTGGGATTATATATGTGTATATATATATATACATATACATATACATATACACGCACACACACATAGAAAATAACGTGACCTCATGAACTATTGCAAATCTTTAATGCTAGAATTTGCTGGAATGTGAATAAATTATCTCTTTATTATCCAATTGAAATATAAAAAATATACACAATTGGGCCGCCAGCCCTTGGCCGATAGCTCGCGGATGCAGGGCCCCAGCGCCAGGCGCGCTCCAACGACCATCGCGAGCAACAGGACCCGCTGACATGGAGGAAGCAGTTCGGGTCGCACGTCGCCGCGGTCGCCAGGTAGCGTTGGACATCCTCGCGGGCTCCAGCAGCTCGTCTGGTGCCTGGCGCTGCACTGCCGCGCGGATGCGGTATGAGATGAGAGAGATGGATACCCAGCGCGGCAACCCACGACATGCTCAACCCAGTTTGGGCCAGGCGAATACGGGGCAGACTCTGATCTAGCATTGTTGGGGCTGCATGGCTCGCACCACCCTTCGCCGCGTTCTCGCAGCTCCGCCTGTCCGCAGCAGTGAGATCCAAGCTTCCCCGTGAGTTTGCGGAATCTGTCAGGTAAAATGTTTTGCGGCGCGGCCATGGCAAATCTTGTCTGCCCCACCTCGATTTGCATGTTTCATTTCCGCCGCTGGCAGCGAATCCCACGCGCACTCAAAACTGCGCCGTAGCACGATAGGGGCAGTGCCCGCTAGGGCGTCTCAATGTCGCGCCTCTTCCGCTGACTGATTTTTACACGCGGAAACGGCCGTGGTATGGCGCAAGCGCGCTAAGTTTCCCTTCAAGCACGTGCCGGTTCACGTGCTCTTTGCGCAGCGTCGTGGTACGTAATTGAGGTTTCTGTGATTTGACCAGCGGCCGCGCGTAGAGATCATTGGCAAGGATTAGATGGATACCAACTGCAGCGTGCTTGCTGAGCCACACACAACAGAACTCTGGTGCGGGCTTGCTAGGCGCTTCACTTCTAGCCGTTGGCTTGCCATCAGAATACCTGTTCGAGCTTTTGGCCATGTAGCGCTGGCGAGATGCTGGCTGTGAGTTGGAGCTTTCCGTGCGCCATCAGGGCGCGGGTGCCTCCTCTGGTGCGTGGTGCGGCGATTACCAGGCGGCACTTAGCACAGCAAGACGTCGAAGGAGGTCCGAGGAGGCATTTGGCCCAAACGAAAAAAGTCCTTCACATGCCCAGCACTTGTCAGGATCACAGTTGCAGTTGCTAGTGGTGTTGGCCGTTCGGGCGGGGATTATGCACGGCATGGCCACCTCGGCTCAAGTCGCCCTCCAGCATGATTTTGATGCACCTTCCCTGCGACCAGCAGTGGTGGGCCTGGGTCCGAGTTTTTCGTGCGACGCCAGGGCGCGGCGAGCATCTTCTGTGATATATGTGTTGTGCATGCTTGCGCCAGCCGGGCGGCAGTCAACACAGCGAGGCGTCTCAGGAAATCCGAGGCGGCACGTGGTCCCAGCGGAAAGAGTATGTCACAAAATTATGTTTCTGCATGTGTCCGTAGCTCTGCACATAGGATGCACTAGGCTGAAGTTGGACATGTCCCTCTACAGGAGGAATACTCAAAAATAGTTTCCTACACCAAAATAGTCGGGTTACGATGTTTCGATTATTCATTGGCTAAATATGAATCATGCTTGACCATGCTTTTTTGTTTTTCTGCTCGAAGATTCGCCTGTAGGAGGACACGCCCGACACAACATTAGGCCTCTGTGCCTCTCAACGTCTGTATGGCATGCCTTTCCTGAGCGGAAACTGCGCCCGCGTGCGGGCCTCTCATCAGCTTCGCGTGGACGTGCTAACCAACTGGTGCGCCGGTTGGTCCCCAGGCGGGTCACCTGCGCACCAAAGCCCAGGCCTCCTCCCTGCCGCCAACACGCGTGAACTGCGACTGGTCGAACGCATCACCCTCGTCACCCTTCTGTTCAACCGCCAGAACAGTCAGGGCTTTCGTATTTAAGCTCCAGCAGTCGTGAAGCTTCGCAGGCATAGGGCCACGTCAGCTCGCAAGGCTTGGGGTCCTACTCCGAATGACTGGAGGGGAATGTATTGATTGCGTTGAGAATTTTGGAGTGGATAACAGCTGGGGTACACGTGGGTTGAAATACGAAGAAGAGTAGCAACGGTGTGGAAATGGATGTGGAACGCGCGCTGATGAGGCGGCGGGCCAAGGCTGGAGACGGAGGCGAGAAGAGAAGAGAACGGACAGGGAGGTCCTTTTTCAAAACGAGGTCAATGTTTGAGCGGCGGGCCCCGGGGGGGGGAAGCATGGATGTATGCCAGCATCCTTTGCGCTCCTGGAGCTGACCCACCCTCACTCAGGAGGGAAAAAAACACACAGACACAATGAATCGTCGACTCCCAGGAAAATATGGGGAAACATGGGAGGTGGGGGGGAAGACGAAAACCCCGAAAATTGGAAGAAATCTGGGGGGATCCTGCTATTTGAGTGTATTTATTTGGGTGTCCCAGGGCCCCTTCACTCACCACCACGCTCCACTGCCTCCATCACGGATCGCCGCGGTGCGGCGCGGCGTCGAGGGGGGCGGCGGGCCGCGGAGGCGCTCTGAAGGGGCGTTGGGCGTTGCGGTGGCGGCGTCCCGAGACGGCTGGCAGGCGCCGTCGTCGTCGGCACCGCCGTCGTCATCGTCGTGTTCGTCGACGCGGTCGTCGTGGTCGTGGCGCAGGTCGGGTTCGGCCTCGTTTTTACCGAGCGGTTCGGCCTCCTTCTGGGTCTGGGGTGTCTTGCAGCCCCCCCGTCCCCCACTCAGAAGGTGCCCCTTGTCCCTCGTGTGCAAGGGGGGCGTCGCCTCGACATGAACGCATTCAGGGCGGCAGCGACCAAGTTCGTCCTCCCGGTTCCTCCATCTCCTCCGCCTCCTCCTCCTCCACACTCTTCCTCATTCCCATTCTCTCTCCCTTTCTCGTTCACTCCCTCCATCCCCCTCCTCCTCCTCCTCCTCCTCCTCCTCCTCCTCCTCCTCCTCTTCCTCCTCCTCCTCCTCCTACTCCTCCTCCACCTCCTCCCCCTCCTCCTACTCATTCATTGTGACGCGCTCACGGGGAGGTCTCCGGCGAGGCCAAGAGGTGCAAGGAGCTGGTCGACCGCGTCCAGACAGAGAGAGGGCGGTGCGAGATCGTCCCCGTGCACCGAAAATGAACAGCACCCTCCATTCCTTCAGGATTCCGAGCAAAAGCCAGAAGCACATTTGCATCAGCATAGTTGGTGGCTCATAAGCACGAGCTCCTCATATGCCCAAGTCCGCCATTTGGACCACCAAGGAGGATGTTCCCGCCACCACACCAATGCGCTGAGGCGGCTCCTAAAAGTACTTTCCCAAAGTCCTCGTGGGGTAGGCATTGAACACCGAAGAAGAAATTGCACTACGAGCACTTGCGCAGCAGGCTACGACAGTACATGGATCTGCCATGCCGCATCAAGTTGTCGGGTCCGTTGTGTCCGTTCTTCCCATACTGCGCAGGTTTGACCCGATACCTCGAATGATTGTCTTTTTCCGATGACATACGGCAACAGCTTGGACCACACGCAAACACTTCGAACTGATCGTACGGGTTTTCTGGTGGCTTCACTAAGCCGAGCGAGACTGCAGGGGTTGTAGCACGGAAAAATATTGACGCTTCACATATCACAGCCGGTCTGGATGCGACAAGGTCCAATTCACCCATCTTGGTGGTCTCGTCCCTGGGATGCCCGCACGCTTGCACAGCCTTGCACAGCCTCCTGGCAGCCCCAGCAACTCTTGCAGCCTCCGCCCTCGGCGCTGCCCCGCTTCCCCCGGCGGTAGCGGCCTTTGCCCTCGGCGCAGCGCAGCTTCCCCCGGCGGTAGGTTGAGCTGTTGCCTGCGCGCGCTAGGCAATTAGTTCTGCTCGTAGCCCGAGCCGACCTGTGACGCCGTCAACGCCTTCGCCTGCGGTTGTGACAAAAAATCCCAACCAGTTCGCCCGGGCTGGCTTTGGACGCCGCCTGCGCTTCCGCTTGCGACCGCGACGGAAAAGTATTCCAACCAGCCCATCCAGAAACGATGCCCATGAGAGCTGGCGGGGGCAGAGAGGAAGAGACACGCATAGTCAAACAGTGAGGGAGGCTGGCCTGTACGGCATGCTGGGGCCATCTCCGGGCCCGCGTGGGGGGGTGGGGGGGGCGAAGGAGGAGGAGAAGAAAGAGGAGAAAGAGGAGGAGGAGGAGGAGGAGGAGGAGGAGGAGGAGGAAGAGCGAGGAGGAGCGAGGAGGCATTAGGAGCAAGACGAGGAGAAGGGGGACGAGGATGAGGAGGACGAAGACTAAGGGAGTGAGGATGAGGAGGAAGAGGAGGAGGAGGAGAAGGAGGAGGAGGAGGAGGAGGAGGAGGAAAATGACGAGGACGAGAAGGAAGGATATGGACGAGAACGAGAGGACGAGGAGGAGAAGGAGGAGGAGAAGGAGGAGGAGGAGGAGGAGGAGGAGGAGCGTGGCCATCTGGAGCCATCTTGGGAGCCATTTGGAGCTAGCTTGGGCTATCGTGAGCCATCTTGAAGGTCATCTTGGGCTCTCTGAAGCCCTCTCGGAGACCGCTCGGGGGCCTCTTGATGGCCTTTCGGGTGTTTTTTGGGAGGCCTCTTGGGGCTTCTTGGGGCGCTCTCTGGGCCCTCTTGGGAGCCTTGGAGGGCCATAGTGGTGGGGGTCTGTCAAAAGAGGGGGGGTACTCGATTTGCGTCCCCCCCCTCGGAGGCCACGATCCTCGTGAGGGGTGGCAAACAAGGGCCCTCCCAATGGCCGAAAAAGAAGCCTCCCACACTTCGCGATCCCTCAAAAAAAACCTCAAGGAGGGGAGGGGAAGGTTCCCCTCCCCGAAGAGAAGAGGGGCTGCGGAAGAGGAACGAGACCCTCGTTAGACCACCTGTCGCCCAAATGGCTGGTGGGATTACGGAAAGAATCCGATCACAGGCAGTCGCGCGCTTCGAAAACGTCTTGAACATCGCAATATCGAAGAAGGATGGGGGGCTCCAATGTCTTCGCGCGCGTGTATCCATTGCACCTTCCACACTCGATGGATGGCATGCCAGAAGCCTCGACGATACTCCTCCTGATCGTTGTTTCGCCCCTTTCCGTACCTGCATTCAGCCAAAGTGTAATCGTGGCCCTAACGTACGTCGACCGTTGCACAAGTGCATGATGCAACATAGGGCCAGACTAAAATTGGGAGTGCAAGGCAGGAAGGGTGCCTGAAATGACGCTCGCACAATGCGAGAAGAACTGTTCACGTATTTAAGACAAGGTTGGAACGGTTGGTTGGATTCGTTTTCACCAGTTCTCAGGCGCTGCATTTTCTTTGTTTTGTGATCTGAGCTTCGACGAGTGAGTTGGGCTCATGCTTCTCATTTGTTATGAGACACCGCGCCATTACTGTTCGACGAGCATGTCGGATTGCGGGCTCGATCGCAGTGCCAGTTGCCAGAACAATGTGACACGTTGATGAATGGACGCAGCTTGGCGACACAGAGATCACACAATTTGCATTACTTGTAACGGAAAGTTCGGTATGTGTACAGGTTGTGGACACCGATAGGGAAACAGATGCATGCCTACGATGATCAAATAATTTCGCCTTGTACCGGATCCGACTGGACGGCATCCATTGTAGCCGTGGTGGTGTTATGTTTCAAACATCGTATTGACAGTTATCACCTACATATACGCTACTCTTACGATATATGGAATGCTGGAACACTCGGTTTCCCAGGAAAGGCAAGAATGCACAGGAGGAGCCGGAGGAGCAGAAGGAATACGACAAGAGGGGGGGCACGAGGTGGAGGAATGCCGCTATCTCCATTAGATCGGTGCTCGTTGAACGCGTGCACTATACCATCCGTTTGCCAGGACTAAGAGACACAACGCGCAAATCAGAGAGGCATCGACAGATCGAACGTGGAACAATGCGTGAGTTGTAACCAGAACAATGTGCAGCATGTTATGTCCCAGCCAAGGATGATTGGGCACGGGAGAACAGACGGGTTAGAAGATTCATCATTCCGCGACGTGCATTCACGAGATACGTAATTCCAGTTTCCTGAAAAATCGCGGGATCCAAACGGCACGTGATGACGCACCCGAAGTCGCGCGGAAGTTGCGGCGGAAGCGGAACCCTGAAAGCGCGTGCTCGCGCATACGTGCGTAAGTGCATCCGACGTACATAGATATCGGCAATACAGCGCTGTAGGTTTCAATGCTGTACTTGTTTCTTATTTTCTCACTGCGCAAGGAACTTCCCACATATCTATAGGCAGTTGTGTTGTATGCGTACATACGTATATGTGCATTTACACATGTCCCCTAAACCTATAGGCACATATATATATATATATACATACATGTGTGTGCATGTCTGTTTGGAACTCATGTTCGTAATATGAAACCCAAAACAACAACAACAACAACAACAAAAAGGGGTCGCCACCCTATTCCCCCCCCGCGACCCCCCCCCCAAAAAAACACCCAATGAACAAATCCGCAGACTCGCTTTGCTGAAGCCGCCCGCTTCGGTCTTTCCACTACTCACCCAGTAGCCTGCGATCCAGCCTGACGGATTCATCTGTTAGGCCCATCCGTCACGGGCACCGTGCGCGCAAGCATTTCGGTTTCGGACGCAGATATGGAAACCAACGAAACTGTTTTTGGTTTAGAAAGCTGCAGTTGTCGCGCCGTGCGCGCAAGCAGCTCGGCTTCGGCCTAGGCCACGAAACATTGTGTATAGCATGTGTTTGCTGGTTGTCCAGGCTTGGAAAACAACGAAGCACTGCGTATGAGTCGGCTGCAGCATTCGCCGCGGCCTCCCCCCCGCACCCCTCTTCTGTATCCATCCGAAACCTGAAGAACCAAACAAACAAAAAAACCAAAACAAAAAACCTGTCATTCACTGCATGCCAATGCTTACCAAATGTACAACAAAAACTCATATGCATAGCGTGTCGCTGCTTTCCGGTAGGAGTAGTAGTAGTAGGAGTAGTAGTAGTAGTAGTAGTAGTAGTAGTAGTAGTAGTAGTAGTAGTAGTAGTAGTAGTAGTAGTAGTAGTCGTAGTAGTAGTAGTAGTCGTAGTGGTAGTAGTAGTAGGCGTAGTAGTTGTAGTAGTAGTCGTCGTAGTAGTA